GGTTTGCACTGTTAGCTATTGTCACATATTTTAAAAATTTCCCTAAAAAGAATGAATGGGTTTGTCCAGATTGAAAGATGGGGACAAGTTCATGTGAGACATTTAGCGTGATAAAGTGTTCTATTCAGTTACTGAAATAAATCACATCAATTATGCCCGGAAATATATATATATATATTTTTAATGAAAGTATAGTGTATATATCGGTAGTTCCTGACTTTTACTATTCTAATATTTACCTCCCTTGCCAAAAGTGGCAGCCATTTTGGAGGGGGGTCAATAATATACATGTAATTGACAAAATATGAAAATTTCAATATAAACAGCAGATTTTGGTGAATGGTAAAGATATGAAAAAAAATTTAATTATAGTACCAATATGTAAGATTTTTAATCAGTTTTCATGAAGAGAATCGAAATTATGAGAATGACCCAAAAATGGCAGCCAGGGGAGGTAATAATTGCTATGTGAAAAGCATATATTCTTTAAAAAGTCTAGAAAAATGTTACAGTAAAATAACGCCACTTACTTAGGCCAGTCTTGACTGTAAAATGGTGCCTGTAAAATTCCAGCAGGAAAAACAATTTCATTTTTGGTGGGCGTGTAATATGCATTAACAGTAGGAGGAGTCATGTCCCAGCTGAAAATATAAATATATATAAAAGTAAATAATAAAACTTAAACACAAGAAAATTTTATATCTATTCTCTTTAATGCATATTATGTTAATTATTTGCTTTGTTTCGATCTGATGTTTGTTTGGTTGTTTTTTTAACACTGATTTGAAAACATTAATTATCAACCATACATCAATATTGTTTCTTTTGATGACAGCCCCACTCAAATGGTTCTCAACTTTTACAATAAAACCAGAAAACCTGTGAATATACAGTATCCATTCTTAAAATGCTCTCCCTTTAACTTCAGCAAGGGCTGGGAGAGAAAAAATCAAACCAATCTTATTCAAAAACTTAAAACTTACACATAGGGCTCTGGAGGCTTTCTAAGCATAGCAGCATTCTTTTGAAGTTCAAAATATAAATTTCTTATGTTGTTCTGGAAATATTCTGATGCATTGATCTTCAACTGCAGAGAAAAGTTCATTATAAAAACAGTTCATTATATAAAATGTTCATTATAAAAAAAGCTCTTTCTCTCGATTGTGATGCTTAAATGATGCATACATGTGACAAATGAAATGGGCCAAATCTGGATTTTCAGCTGGATTTTGAGGCTCAAAACTGGATTTTTTATCGACTCGAATTTCAATGCGTGTTTGGCACATTTGGTTCATTTGAATCTATATTACCCTCAAAATCATTAAATGATTATACTTTTTATGATTTTTTTTGTGGATCTATATTAATTTATTTCACCCAAAAATAAATAAATAGATATATGAATAAGTGTAGTCATACAGGCTATTTCAAAACAGTCACATTTTCACATTTCATTATTTTCAGTTTGAAGAATTATATCTGTCTTTCAGTCATTCAATAATTGGCTACTAATTTAAAACATAAGCTTTTTGAAAACGTACAACAACTATTCATGAACATAAGACTCTGACAATTAAATAACGTAACATAAGTAGAAGACTCAAAATAAATGCAAGAATCGTTCTGTTAATTAAATCCACATTTTTGCCTCGATGATTGTGTAATTCCTAAACAAAACTAAAAAATTACCCACTCACTAAAAATAGGTTAACTACACATCTCAAACAGGATTTTGAATGATCCACTTTTAATGATTCTGCTCACCTTTTATCTTTATCAGTGCGGCACTAATCAAAGAAAATCAAAGGTTGAGCCGAATTCATACATGTAAATTTGCAGAATGTAGGACAAAACCCCACCAGTTAAAACCCCACCACTCAAAATTTTATAGAGTGGACAAAATCCCACCACTAAATTTTATAGAGTGGACAAAACCCCACCACTTAATTTTACAGAGTGGACAAAACCCCACCACTTCAGTTTTATAGAAAGAATGTGTGAACAACTCACCAATAAGGAGAAGACTGTACCCGAGTTTCTTCAGGCTATCAGCCACAGTATCCGATTAAACTAAGTACAATGAAGTACAATGAAGGAAAATTGACTTAACTGAATAAATTAGAAATCTGCTATAAAAATGTGCTATTTTCTATTCATTAATTGATGAAAATGTGCTACATTCGTGATTAATAGTAAGTAGTTTATTTTTTATATAAATAAATTGAAGAAATGAATTTGAAGAAACTAAAAAACTAAAAATAATGGATAATTCAAGGTCATAAATGTGGCACAGTCTCAAATAAATGACTACTCTTTGATGTGGATTTAACAGTTTGTAAATTATTTGTATAATCTCTTATATTACACAAATGTTATATTGAAATTAAAAAATAAAATGTGAAAATGTGTACTGTATATTATATATATTTTAATTCATCAAATATTGCCCAATCAAGGCCGTCGTCGATGGTCCGGCCGGTCCGGCCTTGGCCGGACCAATATTTTGGCCAAAAATGAGTAAAAAAAAAAAACAAAAAAAAAAAAACATAAAAAAACACGCATCGCTGATAAGCAATTTCTAAGTTACTTAAGAATTCTCCTAAACGTAAGAAACTTAAGCAAGATCTAGCACCTGAGACGCCGGGTTTTAGAACTGTGTGCCCTACTCGCTGGACAGTCCGTGCAGCTAGTAAGGGTAAGAGGGTTTTTATATCTATCTTAAAATCATTGTATGATTGTGGCCAATTAAATAAGAAAGTTTTTTTAAACTGTTTGATACTAAAATATGTCCTCAGTTACTATTTGGGGCTGAAATTTGGGGTATTGGTAAATTTGAAGAGCCAGAACGAGTACAATATTATGCATGCAAACGCTTTATGTGTTGTAAACAAACTAGAGAACTTGGTTTTGTTTGTGATTTCTATGGTAACGATATTAACCGAGACATCTTAGAGGTGCAGCTTCAGCTGCTACGTTCACATTTTGATAAATCAGAAAATAGTAAAGTAAAAACTATTTTAAGTGACCTTCGATGGGAGAAAAGAAAAAATGTCATTATAGACAGTCTCTAAAGAATTTGGATATACGAACATATGTTGCCAATATTTTGTTTAAAAGCAGGATAGTACCATACTTAGGGTTTAATTATATTTTTCATTTATATTATATATATATTAAACACACAACATATCATCTTTTTATTTCACTTTCTTTTTTCCTTCAAGCCCCGTTATGCCGGAGATATGCTTTAATCTTAATTTCGTAAAAACTTATTTTTTTTGTAATCCATTCGAGCTTCTCCCCTTGCAAAAGTCGCTTTACACGGCTTATATAACGTAACGGGAGACGCTAAATCATGGTCGTTGTACGCACTAGACAGGGAGTCGCTACATACAGACCATTTATATAGTAAATACTGCTCGGTGCGCCAAACTATGGTCTTTACTGTACTGTTACTCTACCGGACGTTTTGAAATTTGTATCAGAACAGTTGGTGCTAGAACGAGCACTGTTCTCTGAGGTTATTGTGTTGTTAAAGATTTTGTTAGTTATACCTACTACTAATGCTACCAGTGTACTCAGAAGAATAAAGACATACCTGAGATCGACAATGTCTCAAGTACGCTTGAACAATCTAATGGTGTTACATGTTCATAAGTACAGGACAGATTCACTCAACTTATTTGTAATTGCCGGTGAGCTCATTACCACCAGAGAACGACGGCGATGTGATTTTGGAAAATTTACATAAAATGAGACTCTGTTGTGTAAGATTATTGTGAACAAAATCACCGTGGATGAACAAGTTTTGTCACGTGACCACAAATGCAAACGCCGATTTGTGATTTTGGCACACACGGACCCGATTTCAGGTAATCATTTGCAGATATCTTTTTTTCCACTGCGAGCACAAAAATAAGACATAGACCGTAGGACCCGGCGTAAATTAAGCTTTTATTTTATGTGAGTAGTCATAACTAGACTTTAGTAGTTTTTTAGAACACTTCGACACAAATATTTTTTTCGCAAAGCAAACGCCGATAGGTTTTACTTTTTCAAATCATTTTTCTCACTGGAAATACATGTTGAGGTAAAATAATAGAGGATATGTGTTTGTAAATTCCATTCCCGTCCCTAACTCATTTATAATTCCATTAGCAAAGTTATATTTGACATTAACCCATGTTTTTCCCTGCATTGTCTAATTTGCAAACGTCGTTTGGACATGTAAAATATGCAAACGCCGGTTGGACATATTAAATATATATATATAACCGGTGGTTATTTAATTCAAGTTGCAAATATTTCAGTTTTCCCAAATAAAATAATGCTGTGTTTTCTTTTTTAGACCATGATTTATTTGCGAGACTTGTGGGAAAGAGCTGCAAAGCAAATGGGGACATGCACTCCATCAAAGACGACATGCAGGCCTCGGTCGTTATTACTGCTGCGGGAAACCATTTCGAAATAAAGATGCTGTAACCAGGCATAGGTATTATATTGAATTTAAAATATTTACTTAGCTTTGAGTGTTTTGAAGACCCTTATTATGTGGGTACATACTTATGTTTACAGTTAATCCACTTTGGTTGATCAATTAGATATTTAATAAGATAATGGCTACTATATTCTTACATAACTATCGTTTATTAACCTGGCGGTGGCGCCATTATTTCTGATACTACTGAGCAATTATCCATACCCTGAGAGAAGCATCCGTGTTATGCTTAATCGCAATACATAAAATAACATTTTAACGGAATGGCGCAATAAATTTTCTCAGTAACATTGACCCCTTATGTCATTTACTTTAAATCCTTTAAATATATTATTGTTTCATTCATATTTGTATCATTGTATTGTAGATGTACCGTGCATGGCGACCGAAGAATGTTCAAGTGCGATAAATGTAACACGAGGTTTCCAACGAAAGACGACCTTCGCAAACACCAGAAGCGTGAAATGACCGAAAAGAGATTCAAATGTGACATCTGCGGTGTGAAGCTTCGTGAGAAGATCGACTTAAAGGCACACTTGGATACTCATACCGGGGAAAAGCCGTTTGTTTGCGACACCTGTGGGAGGCAGTATAGGCACAGGAGCAGTTTATCTAAGCATAAATCGGCAAAGCATTAAATTAAATTAAAACTAGTAACATTATGATTCTAATGATGCAGTATAGATTTTTATTTTTGGTTTCCGTAAGATAATATATATATACACTGATGTTCAGATAGACACTGATTTGACAAGAGAACCAGGCAAAAGTTAAACATTTACTTTAAAGAACATTGTTTCATTACTTTTTATCTGTTTGGTAAATGTTAATTCTATCATCGGGATTTCAACTGATATTCAATATGTTAAACGTTACTTAAACAGGCAACACACATTTACGGAACTAATTTTCTATTCATTTAAAATGTTAATCACATTTGAGCAATTCCAAATTTCTTTATATGGGCTAAAAATTGCCATGTTCTTTTGTCAATATTTGTTTTTTCGATCAAAAAACGATATAAATCTATATGTGTTGCTATGCAAAGCCTTTAACATCATAATTAATAACATTATCTCATTTGATTTGCAGAGCTCCAGATAAGTGCTCAATTAAAGAGTATTACACTGCAATCTTAACGAAATCGTTTAAAAATTATAATTATATAGTATTTTAAAATACTAGTAAAAGGCTTAAAACCATAAGATGTAGATCCGGAGCTTTGTGTGTGTTTCGCTGTTGAAATTTTAATGTTGTCGTTCAATGATTATATTTTAAAAGATTTTTTAATTATTTGTGATTTTCATAATTGTCTGTGATTATACTTGTTGATCTCACTTTTGTTAAGCCCAATTATTGTGCAATTATTTACAATAAAGACCAATAAAAATAAAAAATAAAGCGTTCTCTCATATAACTTTCATAACGTTTATAATCCAAGACACTCTTTATTCACCAATGCCCATTCTAGAAGTTAACAACAGTTTGCTATCATTTCGACGTGCACGTTCGTATCTAACACCGAGCGTTCCTTTCTGGATTGCATTGCGATTGGTTGAAACAGTCTCTAGCTTGCGTTTGGAGGTCCTAACCTGTCGTTTCCTGAAACGAATCAAACTATTAACAAAGATTCGTAATACAAGTCATTGTGGTTATATTTTCTTAGGAGGCAATATAATATTTATTTCACACAATGTATTGTGCAGAATTAATTTATGATATTTACCGTTAAATTAAAAAAGAAATATATAACTAATGCATTATCAAAACTTAATAATCGATCGGCTGCGCCAATCTTGACCATTGAATTTATTATTGCATCGATTTCGACTTTTAAGTGCACTCTCTTTTTTAAATAGTCATTTAATAAAATCAATACATAGAAATAATATGCATTTATGTTATTATTATTTTATCGATAAAGACCAGACACAACCGTAGCTCGACATATGGTTGTGGAGCCTTAAAAACGCAGCTTTTGTTAATTATATTCTGCAACATTTTCGTTTTCCATTATATATAAATTATATTGTTTTTTTTTCTCATAGGATAGTGTGCGAGCATTATCAAATTTTAAATCGTTGAAAAGGTGGTTTACCATAATTATTTTAGTGCTATACGGAAACATTTAACTACTCACTTAAGTGTAATTTTCGAGACTTGAACCATCGGAAGGCATGCACTGCATTCATCGTTTTCGAACGAAGAATCGCTTGTGGTGACCTCTGACCCGGACAGTTCATAAACATGTGATCGACCTGTTCTGTACACAAATTTCCTGGAATGGAAAAAAATTAAGATTTGAAAATACGCATAATTTAAAACAGTTGTTATTTAACTTTTCTGTATGTTTAAGCTTGTACATGTAATGCACTTTATAATTCACTGGTATTTAAATATCCTGTATGTTGTAATTGAGGTTGTAAACCACACTTAAGTGAAATCTTATATATGTATATAGTTATGCTTATACGTCAAAGAATATGTAAAATATGTACTGCAAATATTTGAACATATAATATGTAATCATTAATATGTATTCATTCATTTTTATTGAAAAAATTGACTTAGACTTTAAAGATTTTTTTTTATTTCCTCCCTTTATTTACATAAAATGTTAAATTCGGTAATATCTATACAAATAATGCTTTTTGGAACTTACAAAATTGATGAATCTTAATTTGAGTGTCATATTTATGATATAAAACCATAAAGAAATTGTAATAGAGGATCTTTAACTCGCAGAGGTTTAAATTTATGTTTGATCGCGATGAAATTTACGCTGAACTTTACATTGTTCTGAAAATAGTGCTACAAGAATTGCAATATATGAAGAACTAAGAACCAAACCCTTACCTATTAGGATCATGTCGAACGTGTAGCTGCTCCGATGCAGCCCCGATAAATCGACCAAATTCGGCTGCCGTCACTGTTCCACAACCAGTTTTGTCATGTAAAACCAGTTCGGAGAAAAACGTTTCACCAACAAGACTACTAAATGCCCTGACATTACACGTTCCACCATGACACAGTGAATACAATAAGGTCTTAGCATCTATATGCGCAATCAGAGCTTCCCAGAGTTGTAAAGGCCAACCGGCTACGTACTTTGAAGGTGGGGGGTACTTGTTGAACTTAACATGTGACAGAAGACGTTGTCTAAGATTTTCCCTCATTGTAAAGCGTTCAAGGGCAGAGAACCCTGAACAATCCTCAGCCTCCCACCATAATCTTACATCTTTACATAAATTGGCTGCATCTGTATATCCGAGTTTGTACATTTCTTCTTCAACATCTTCTGAAAAGTGAGTAGCAGCCATAGCAGAAGACATTGGATCGGTTATTTCTTCAACCATAATGGGGGTTAGAAAGGTATTTCCGGTTTTAGCTACAGCTTTCCAAGCCTCATTTGTAATGCCATCAAGACCACCTTTACAACATTTTCTTCTGGTTCGAGTTAGTAAATGGGTCGCATCAATGCATTTGACTTCCAACTGACTTCTATTAGTGCTATATTCTGGGTGATAGAACCATTCCCTACTAATACCTATCCCTTCTATGTAACAATTTTGTGATACCCGCGTTTGAAGTTTCCAATCCTCATATTTTTCTGACCATATGATTTCCGCTAGCGCACAGTTTAAAACTTGCTTAGACATATTTGAAACAACTTTTGCGGAAAGCTCACGTAAAGACTTAACACTTAACATCTTCTTAATTGTCACTTTGTGTGTTTCCTGTTCACGTGTATGGCCTAAATATGTTGACAAAATATCAATTTTTGCTTGCTTTGTCGCACTTTCATTTATGCGTATAGACCTTGTCCTCTTGAAATAACGTGCAATCACCCTCACCTCGACATCGCGCAATGACTTCAGTTGCTTTGGCGACGAAAATTTCTCATGTAAGCCATTTATAACTTGATTGTCCGATTGACCCTTCTTGTTGCTAGCTTTATCGGTTTTAAGTAGAGCTAACAAACAACACCTTCAAAAAGAACTCTTTGAGGAAGGCGTTTGGCAATATAAAGTGGAGACCTCAATGATGGCTGCAGTGGTGAAAGTTTACGTTTCGTTCTATTTGAATTTGGTGTTGGCTTTGGCGTGAGTTTTCGTCCGAGGCGTTTACTTTTATATAAAGGTGAACGGTATGTTTGTGCGAACGGTGATTTTCTTGGTGAAAATTTACGCTTTTTCAGTGATGATGGCGTGGGGGAAAAATCTTCGCCGGTGTGAAAATGTCCAACTTGATAAGATTTATGTTTGCGTTTTGGGCGATGCAACGCAAGTTTTGACTTCCTCTTCGCCATCTGAAATAAGAAACAAACTAAATTTAATTAAGCAAACACAATATAGTCCAGCGTTCAAAAAGACATCAACGGGCGCTTGTATATATTTCAAATGACCAACCGACGTTTGCATATTTCTCATGATCAAACGACGTTTGCAAAATCGTGCATGTGTTTATATCGAATATAACCATGCCAATGGAATTATTAATAAGTTAGGGACGAGAATTTCTTGTAAAAAGATATATCTTCTATTATTTTCCCTCTACATGGGTTTTCAGTGAACAAAAAAGATTTGAAAAGATAAAAGCTATCGGCGTTTGCCTTGCAAAAAGAAAATTTGTGTCGAAGTGTTCTAAAAAACTACTTAAGTCTAGTAATGACTACTCACATAAAATAAAAGCTTAATTTACGCCGGGTCCTACGGTCTATGTCTTATTTTTGTGTTCGCAGTGGAAAAAAAGATATCTGCAAATGATTACCTGAAATCGGGTCCGTGTATGCCAAAATCACAAATCGACGTTTGCATTTGTGGTCACGTGACAAAACTTGTTCATCCACGGTGAAAATACAAGTTACTGCTAAACAAAAAGTGGTTATTGTTGACTCGTAATGTACTATTTTTCCATCATGTCATTGATTGTTTATTGTGTGAGTTTTGTTAAACAATAATCCACGTACTGTAATATTTCTTGTAGTTGTTTATTTGTAATTATCAGATAAAAATGCATCTAAAGACTTATACAACATTAATTATTGTTTATTTTTTATTTGCCAAATATCAATTACATGTATTCATCTTTTATGTACACCTATCCGTCCGTTATGCGAACCTTAAATTTCACCCTTAAAACTTACGACGCACTTAAATCTGAAAAAAATCGTTAACATATTACTATAACATGTACTAACGGCAGGCTGTAAACTGTGCCAAATATACGGTAAAACGGCCCTGAGAGCATCCTAGAATACAAAATTTTCCGGGGGAGCATGCCCCCGTACCCCCCTAGATTCTGGCTAAAACCAACCAAATTGGCCGCACCAATCACAAAATCGTGACGACGGGCCTGCCAATAATTGGTAAGTGGTGGGGTTTTGTCCACTCTGTAAAATTTAGTGGTGGGGTTTTGTCCACTCTATAAAATTTAGTGGTGGGGTTTTGTCCACTCTATAAAATTTTGAGTGGTGGGGTTTTAACTGGTGGGGTTTTGTCCGTCTTCCAAATTTACAGGGTAGTTTTGATGACGTAGCGTGTAATACCTACTGCCAAATTACAAAAGAGGTCAATTGATTGACACACGACAGGTGATAAGTTAAACATGTGAGAATAACTTTGGGTATAGGAACTGTTTATTACGTCACCTTGCTATCAATTAGTGACTCAACATTTAATCCGCTATAATTTAGGATATGGACAGATAACAATCAATGCCTGGAGGCACAGTTTACATTTTAGATACAGGTGCTGTGTTTGATTTTTTTTTATGTTGATTTTTTTTTTAAATATCGGGAATTCAAGCTGTTATATCGGGAATCGGGATCAGTGTTGAAATATCGGGATTTTTTAAAATCCCGCCGGGATGTCACATGTATGATGATGAATTATTAAAAATCAGAATTAACATTTTGATAATTATAAAAAACACCTTGTAAAGTATTGACAAAATAAAAATAAATTTAATAATGATATATGAAGTCTTTAAGTAATGATAAAACCAAGTTCACTGTCTTAATTGCCTCAGTCTTTACAGAAGTATGGTACATATTAAACAGTGTAATGCCCTTAATTAAATCATTTGTCATTTTCCAGGAAATATACAAAGTGGAATTTGCAGGAGAGTTTTTTATTTGTCATTTGATGTATTAATTAGGTCAATGAACAAAATACATACATTTTTATATTCTTTGTTTAATCTTGTTTTATTCAGGATGTATTCTGGAAATCCAATCATGTCAATCACTGAGTTAGCCTAAAATAAATAAATAATTAATACCTATGTTACTATATATAGTAACAAAATCTAGGGTATTCCAGGGCCATTATGGCAAGATCTAGGTCATTATGCATTTGCCATGCCTTGCTCGATTTTAAGTACTGATATTCAATCTAAAGGATACAAATACAATCATTATCTGCCTGCTAATTGATAAAAGTGAGTCATAGGTAAGTGGTTAAGTTGTGTACCCCTCAGCTCAGGGAGCATGGGTTAGAGCCCTACTCAGGACATGACCATGTAGGCTCCAGGTAATGAACTAAACAAGAGCTGTCAGTAGGACAGCATGATCAACTATCCAACGAGCTTGATCGTAAAACAAGTGTCTAGATAATGTAGAATTTTCTAAGTTCTAAAAAGGTTCATATTTCTGTCAAAATATGTTAAAGTTATGGGCCTTGGAAAGTGACCTTTCTTATGCTCTTAAATGTGTGAAATTTTATGTAGTTTGAAGGCACCAACTTATACTAAAAATCGTAACCCAAATGTGACGCTAACACTTGGCTCATTACAATAGCCCTCTCTATTCTTCAATAAATCAAACTAAAAATGGTAAAATGAGCTTCAATCTTTGCTCACAATCAAACTACAATAATTTAATATGTTTAAAATATACCTTAATTGGTTGTTCATTATAAAATCTTAACACAACAGAATTGCATTACAATCTATTCAGCATTTAAATTGTCACATACCTTATCTACTGCAGCTTTTCTAGTTTCATCATCCATCCATCTTAAACTTGGCAGATTATTCTTGAATGCCGTCTTTACTTCTTCGATCATATCTTCCGCCTGAATTACAGGAGTAAAACAATTGATTAATTATGTGTCTGTCGTATGTTACGGTTCTGTTCGGAATGTCCATCTCAAGGATATCAGACTGGTGTTTTTGTTAAGTTTTACCCATGCTGGAAATTTTATCTGGTATGAGGGGTGCCAGTTATGAGTCCAAGTGCTGCAAAATGACGTTTATTTGGTGCAATTTCGAAAATTACTTTCTTAAGATTACGTCATTTGGATGTTCAAAATGAAGTTGTAAAATCATATGCTACTGTAGAAAACTAGTAACACTTGAAATGACATTAATTTCCAGGAATAATTAATTTATTGAGGTAAACCATTTAAAATATGGTAGAATATGCAAGAATAAATATCTGACATGTGTGTGTGGTTCAGATTGAATTATCTGTCCCTATGGTACGTGCCCATGGGTGGCAACTCCGCTAGACTGGTTACTGCCCATTGGGTGGGAACCCTCTGAACAGATATTCCAACCTGAACTGCAGCACACAACCGATATTGTAATTTCTTTCTTTCTTTCTTCCTTCTTGCCATTTTTTCCTTCTTTATCAATATTGTTCCAAATAAGAAAATAAAATAAACCATGAATTTATGCATGATCATAAATCGGTTAATTATTCTGGAAAACGAAAATTCTATGTAACAATATCCTATTATTATACCACTATATACAAAAGATGCTACCCACTGCCGATTTCAATCAACGGCATATACATTTTTTCTTGAAAGACCAGCAGAGTCTGAGCAAATAGTAAAGTGGCAATAGCCTTTTTAGACAACTTAATTTTCAAATATTTTGGTATGCTATCAAGGTGGTAGGTGGGGGTATGAACCAACTTCAATGATAGTTCTAGTTTATTCAAAACAATCATATTATTATTGGAGGATATGAAATACGGCTATTAAGAAGTGTTTTGACATAGTATCATATTCACATTAAAACAATCACTTTCCACAAGACTGATGGCTGAACGGGAAACAGTTCTGCTATAACTCACAGTACATCATACCTTTTGCTTACTGTTGCCTTTAAATACCTCTTGCACGAACAAGGAACCGAGGGCAAATCCGAGCACTTGATCTGTGTCTGTAATACAATGTCTCCATAATTCCTCCCCTCCTGTTGTACCTGTTAACATGCAATGTTGTTCTGTAACGGCTCTTATTATCACAAATGGAAGTGTCATGTAAATGGTAATGAAAAAAAAAAATCCAAGGACCTTTTCTTTGTGAACATGGAGCTAAATTCTCATCCATTTATTAGATGTAAAAGGGCAACTGATAACAAACCCCCTCACTGTTCAGGGCTACGTTTCATCGAAAGCCTTTAGTGTATCCTCAGTCCTAGGACATAAAACCAACATTAGGACTAACTTAAGACCATTTTAATAAACGTTTTACCGTCAGTCAAAGACTGTAGACTATAATAACATTCATAATTCTGAGAAAAAGGTAAGAAATACAATAACAGACCCATTTTTTCGCAATGTGCTATTACTCATCTGTATTGCTTTTTAGAAGTTAATTAAAAAGAGTCATTAAATAGGAGTCATAAGTTAAGACATTTTTTCTTTGAAATGCAAAATTGTCCCAGTTTTGGTCTTAAGACTCATTTCAAACTTAAGACTTTCAATGACACACAGCCAAGTATGCTATTTGGAGATAATTCTATGCCACTGGCATGATTCATATCAACAACATCAAGTGATGTGAACTGTACCAAATAAAACAATTGTCCAACACATGATCTTATATTTAGGAAGTAGTCAATAATTACAACTATCCCATACCTGAAATAGCCTCTGTAAGAATATTTCTAGCATCTGTGAAGTCATTGGTAAGGTATGGGGTCATTGCCTTTACCACATGCCACATCATGTAGTTCTGTAGTGTCCTGTTAGTAACACAGTAGAAATATGGTGATAAATACTGCAAAATCAGTCACAAATCGCCCATTACATGTAAGATCTTAGTACATTTTTTATAAAGTTTGATTTTCTTGAAATATTTTGGCTCATCTGCAGGCATGAAGCTTTAAATTGACAAAAAGTTAACAAAACAAGAACACAATCTACAATTGCGAGTATATTAAAATCTCTTAATAGCAATATTAAATTGCATAATCACGGTTTCTTAAATGTTCATTTGGAAAGTAGCGAAGAAATTTGATCATATGAAAGTGTAAGTGTAAATCAATACAATGTATTTCAATTTCACTCCAATTTTCTAAAACATTTTATCTGACCTTGCCCCATTTTCCTCTTGAAGCGTCTGCTGCAGAAGTTCGGTGAGATTCTGAAGGTAACGAGGCATATAAACTACAACTTCCTCTGCCGGGCTCACTGTCACATTTGCTATTGATAATATACTGTTTAAAAGTTGAATCCAATTCACCTGAAAGTAGATCAAAATTTCTGCACTGCCTTGTTACATAGATTATTGATTATTATCTAGCTAGAACCGGAAGTTCAGTTTACTAGCCTTTGTCACCTGTAAAAGAGCTACTAGGCCTGCCTGGACAATCATGACCTGAGGCTCTTTTACTGTTGTCTGACTTATTTTAATATTTTCATTTTGATACCCACAAAGTTAAATATGGACTTGTTCCAAACTGGTTGCTTGACAAGTCCATTTTTTTTTGTGGTTGGGTTTTCAGGGCACCCATACATTATAGGTCATATGACAACTTTCCAGCTTTACTGGTGGAGGAAGATCTCATTTGCCCGTTCATGCATTATTTCAGGTATGAATGAAGTCCATTTAAAAAATTCAATAGGTAAAGGGCTATTAATAAGTGACAGTGAGTTTTTAACTGTTCTCAGTGTTTAATGCATTAAAACAAGATCCATGTAAAAGAACTCACAAAGTTAAAAAATACATTAAAGGGACTCCACTGAAGTTTTTTGACATGACAGGTCTAAAAATATTTTTGTTTTGTTTTTGTTTTGTACCATTTAATGTAGGCCTATACCAGTAACTTGTGTGCAAAATTTCAGTTTATGTTCTAGCTCACTCCGTTTCTCCAGAATAATCTTTTTTATTGTGAAAAACTAAATGCTTTTAAATATTTTAACCCAAATTGGGCAAAATGATTTTAACTCAATTTTAATTTTGAGCATGATTATTTCATTTATTATCATTTTCATATATTTCACTTATAGTGCCTCAGTTGATTTTTTAAGCTTTTGGAACTAAGTGGGGCTCCTTTAAATTTCGAAATTCTACATTTTCCTAGTATGACATCCTCTCAGAATATGAACAAACATTATGTACAATGTTATATCAGCAATTAACAAGCTATCATAATTATACATAATTGACATTATTTCTATCAAATTGCATAGCAAACATCTGTAATAAAAGTTCAAGATTCCACAAACCAAAAGCATGGCAATTATATAAACATTTGTAATTCTATACAAATATCTCATTTCTATGCCTTCCATCTCCAAGGCAATCATTTTCATGGCAATTTCATAGATTACATTTGCATAATTCTTCTTTATAAAATCAATTGTTTATACAGAGATATAAATTGTTGTATTAAATGTTCATAAAAAAATTTATATAAGGATCATAATGAAAATCTGACTCTTATTTAGACTTTTAAATTTCTTTTGGTGTCTTTATATTTCATATAACAATGAAGTTATTTTTAAAGTTTTGGTTGGGTTTTGCATCACACCAACACAGTAGAGGTCATAATGGCAACATCCCAGCTTTACAGGTGGAAACAGACCTCAATTACCCCTCTGTGTATTATTTTAGGCACAAAAGGGCACCCGAGTAGAAACACTGAAATTTCATAAGCTAGCTGTAGCTTCATCACATGCAAGAATCAAAAACCCATTGCCGGATTTAAAACCACAGCAAAGAGTGGCGGCCAGTGAAGTGGTTTGAGGACAACAAATTTTGAAAGATTATTATTAAAAAGAGATAAGCGATATAATGTTGAACTAGAACTATCACTAAATGTGATTAATACCCCAACAAGTCTGCTTGGGAAATGAGGATGTTACTAGTAACAGGATACCTTGTAATAGAATTGAAACATAGAGTTATGGTTGATGGCAATTAAAGATAATTGTGGTTCATGTATGTTGCATTTCCTTTCAATGTGGTTGGCCATTGATGAAGTTTAATTGAATTACTCTGTAATAAGTCCAGAAAGACAAAGAAAAAGAACAAAGGGCAATAACTCTATAAATACTGAAGATAGAGTTATAGTTCTTGTGCACTGCACTTCCTTTTAATGTCCTTGACAACTGTATGAAGTTGTACTGAATTCCAAACAGTAGTTTTCAAGTTATGCTCTGGACAAGGAAAAGTAACAAAGGGCAATAACTCTGTAATTAGTCAAGATGGAGTTATGGTTCTTGTGCACTGCACTTCCCCTTATTGTGCTTGACCATTGTATGAAGTTGTTTTGAATTCCAACCAGTAGTTTTCAAGTTATGCTCTGGACAAGGAAAAGAAACAAAGGGCAATAACTCTGTAATTAGTCAAGATGGAGTTATGGTTCTTGTGCACTGCACTTCCCCTTATTGTGCTCGACCATTGTATGAAGTTGTTTTGAATTCCAACCAGTAGTTTTCAAGTCATGCTCAGGACAAGGAAAAGTAACAAAGGACAGTAACTCTGTAATTAGTCAAGATGGAGTTATGTTTCTTATGCACTGCACTTCCTCTCAATGTGCTTGACCATTGTATGAAGTTATAATGAATTCCAACAATAAGTCTTTAAGTTATGGTCCGGACAAAAGAAAGCAATGGAAAAGTTACAAAGGGCAATAACTCTGTAATTAGTCAAGATGGAGTTATGATTCTTGTGCATTGCACTTCCCCTTATTGTGCTTGGCCATTGTATGAAGTTGTTTTGAATTCCAACTAGTAGTTTTAAAGTCATGCTCTGGACAAGGAAAAGAAACAAAGGGCAGTAACTCTGTTATAAGTCAAAATGTAGTTATGGTTCTTGTGCACTGCACTTCCTCTCAATGTGCTGGACCATTGTATGAAGTTATAATGAATTGCAACAATTAGTCTTCAAGTTATGGTCCGGACAAAAGAGAGCAATGGAAAAGTAATAAAGGGCAATAACTCTGTAATAACTTTAGATAGAGTTATGGTTCTTATGCACTGCACTTCCTCTCAATGTGCTTGACCATTGTATGTAGTTATATTGAATTCCAACCATTAGTCTTCAAGTTATGGTCCGGACAAAAAAAAAGAAGGCAAAGGAAAAGCAACAAAGGGCAATAACTCTGTAATTACTTTAGATAGAGTTATGGTTATTGTGCACTGCACTTCCCCTTATTGTGTTTGACAATTGTATGAAGTTGTTTTGAATTCCAACCAGTAGTTTTCAAGTTATGCCATGGACAAGGAAAAGTAACAAAGGGCAATCACTCTGTAATTAGTCAAGATAGAGTTATGTTTCTTACGCACTGCACTTCCTCTCAATGTGCTTGATCATTGTATGTAGTTATATTGAATTCCAACCATTAGTCTTCAAGTTATGCTCCGGACAAGGAAAATGCAATGGACAAAAAAAAGCAAAGGAAAAGCAACAAAGGGCAATAACTCTGTAATTACTTTAGATAGAGTTATGGTTCTTGTGCACTGCACTTCCCCTTATTGTGTTTGACAATTGTATGAAGTTGTTTTGAATTCCAACCAGTAGTTTTCAAGTTATGCCCCGGACAAGGAAAAGTAACAAAGGGCAATAACTCTGTAATAAGTCAAGATAGAGTTATGGTTCTTGTGCACTGCACTTCCTCTCAATGTGCTTGACCATTGTATGTAGTTATATTGAATTCCAACCATTAGTTTTCAAGTTATGCTCCGGACAAGGAAAATGCAACGGACGTCTGGACCGACCGACCGACCGACCGCCCGACCGACCGACCAACCGACCACCGGGTGACTCCTATATACCCCCCCAAACTTCGTTTTTGGGGGTATAAAAAGTAAAGGGAGATAAGCAATACAGAAGTTAAGAATATACAAGAGAGATAAGCAATTAGTCAAGGGAGATAAGCTATACAAAAGTTGAAAATGGTCAAGGGAGATAAGCAATATAAAAGTTGAAAATTGTAAAGGGAGATAAGCAATACAGAAGTTGAAAATGGTCAAGGGAGATAAGCAATATAAAAGTTGAAAATTGTAAAGGAAGATAAGCAATACAGAAGTTGAAAAATGATCAAGGGAGATAAGCAATATAAAAGTTGAAATCTGTAAAGGAAGATATGCAAATGGTCAAGGGAGATAAGCAATTGGTCAATGGAGATTATAAGCAATAAAGAGCTATAATGTAACTTACAAATGGGGCTAGTTTTTGAACATCACCAAGTAAAGTTACTTACAAATGGGGCTAGTTTTTGTACATCACCAAGTGTCATTTTATGATACAACTGCTCTTCATCCCTTCTCTCCTCACTCGGAACTGTGATCTATATAAAATATTGAAATCAACCAATCAATAACATTTCATATTACATGTATGTACAAAAACTTTAACCAAACATGTTTTCAAATGTCATAGACACAATGCATGCTTGGAATTAATTATGAACAATACTTTCCAACTTGCCATTATTTATGAATGATATTTTCCCGCAGTTACTTTCATACATAATACATGATAAAATCACTGTATAATGATGAAGGATAAACTAAAAAAATACATTACTTTCAGAAGTAATGTTGGAATAATAAATGAAATTTGTACAGTTAAACCCTGCCTATATTCGTTGTATTAAAAATCTTCATAAAACCAGAAATATGGAATTATTGATATAGTACAAAAATCAGAAAAAGTTACAAACTGTCTATAGTTTTATTAATAAAATTTATAAATATGGCAAACAATTGATCTGTTCAACAAAATTTAACTTTTATCTTCAAAATTTATTGACATCTTTTTTTTTTCTAGCTAACTTGTTAATGATAACTAATTACGTAACAGACTTAAGGTCAAATCAATAACGTAACGTTTTTTGGTGCCGAAATAAAACATATCATTAATAGTCATAATTTTTATATACATGGCATAAGGCCAGCATAAGAAATTTATAATTGAATTTTAACTGAATAGAACATTCCCATTGCTTAAGGAATGGAATCCAAATTTATTACTTTGAAATTAAATTTGATATTTTTAGGATAAAATCTCATAAAGTCCCTGGATTTTAATATCAATATACACTCATTATTTGACACCATGAATCATAAACTGTTGTTGGGCAAGCTTCTATATTTTCTAACATCGAAAATAAAGCAATAATGTTGTTTCTTTATGGACCAAATCCAAATGCGACTTGTTATTAAGGGCATGCATAATGATAAAAGCTGGTATGTTTTCTTCATGCGTAACAAACAATAGCTTGTAAATAAAACATTATCATAAGTTAATTAAGCAAAGTCCCTAGTCCCATTGATTTGAACTATAATATATGATTGATTGATTGATTTTCTTTAGACCGGCGGTCAAGGATAACCTACTAGTGCAAGCACTTATTTCCAGTAGGGTCCAGTAGGGTCCTTACATTAGCAGACTTTAGAGACAGCTATGAGATACAAGGGTGTCCGGGAACCAGTCCCTAGCTCTTATCAAAAAGACCCCTTGGTTCTTTTACATGCCCAGTGTATAGCACTGATACATGTGAGGATTACCTGGGTTTCTTACCAGTAAACCTCTAGGTAGGTGGGAAACACTGAAAGTGTCTCTGAAAATCCCAAGGGTGTTACCCAGGATCGATTTATAGCAATGTAACAAAAAATCAGATTTTTTTGGATTTTTTATTTTTTTATATATTGATATTATAGTGCATGGACTACAAGGTTAAATATATTTGAGGTCAGATCAATGCCACTATAGCACCTTTGAATCGTCACTAAAGTGGGGCGAGTCGTTATGGGGCGATTCATTATGGGGCAATTCGTCATTGTGGCAAATCATTATAATACCAGACACAGTAGCTATTGGTTAATTCTAGGTCATCCAGAAACACCTTATCATTATTATTACATTATTTTAAGCTACAATATCAAAAATACTTACGTTAGCCAGCTGTGTTTCAAACTCAATCACATCGAGCATCTGTTCCCTGGTGTTGTTCTCCTCACCACCGAGTAAAACCCCAACCCTTGTCATGTAGTCCAAATAGGCTGACAATACCTGCAAATAACAATACACAGTCACATACAATATAAATATTTTCTAGAGCAAAGTATTTCTTTGTTTGTTATATTACTTTCGACTTTAAAGGAACTCTACTGAGGTCCAAAAGCCTAAAATATAAAATTTGAATTTTTTATAATATTAGATCACCTGGGGCACTTAAAACAGAAAAATATAAAAAAGATGATTAAGAATTATACTGAGACATATCTTTGTGCTATTCTTGGCCAATTTTAGTGAAAAGTCTTGTATAGCTATTCAAGTTTATCAAATGGAACATTAAGCCCTAAAAATTTTCCAAGTCCTGTCATATCAGAAAACCTCAGCCCTTTAAAGCTGCACGCCTCCAGATCAGCCAAAATATTTCAAGAAAATCAATCTTGAAAAAAATGTATTAAGATCTTAAGAATAATTCTACTGCGTTACTAATGCAGTAAGAGGTATTTGCCACCAAGGGCATATTTGACCCCAGTTTTTATGTAAATAAAATAAGTAAAAATAATAAAATTATAAAATGACAAAAAGAAAATGCAAATAATAATAATAATATTTTCATGTATGAATGTAAGTGTGTATGTAATATATTATAATGTTTTATAATAATGCTTTATTTTCAGATATAATGTAATGTTTTGAAATCATAATCATATTGTTAATTAACTTACTGTTTAGGTGTAAAAAGCCATAAGGCATATTTTTAGCAAGTTTATCTTAATACTTAAATATCACATATGTCAGTCTTTTTAACACTTAAAAAGATTATTTCACTTTTAGAAATCTTTTACTCTTATCAACACCTTTTGGTTTAGGTGCTATTTATTTATAATACTTTGTAGCTTTTAGCAATTAATGCTATTAGGAAATTATGTAACTTACAGGATATGTTTTATACCTTTTTTCATAAAATAATTTTTATCCAGATTAAGCATCATGTAATACTTTTCTATTTTTCATTGGTCAATGTTTTTCAATTTTCATTGGTTATTCAATTAATTATTGAAATTAATAATACTTAAAAATATTATATATATATATAAAGACAAAAATAAGTTAAGACAAAATTAAAAATTAAGAATTAAATATTAAGAATTGGAACTTTAAAAAACAAAGAATTGGAATTTTTAAGAATTGTTAGGAACAGACTAGGAATCAAAATTAATGTAATAGTGTGTTAAAAGTATCTTGGAAACCCTTTTAATAAGAAACATTGTGAACTTAATATATTTTAATGAAAGTGAACTTTAAAAAACTTTGTATAAAATATAATATTAGTAAACTGTAAAATAAAGGAAATCAATAAATTAAATAAGTAATTAGGAACATTTGTGTTCATCTTCATTTCATCAAAGTTATCTGCTATCACACCCTACATACTAATAGTAGAGTAAACTACGTGACCGACTGCTTGGGGTGAACACTTCATATTGTGTATCGGGACTCAGCTTAGACCTCGGCTAATTCCCCACAGCTTAAACAACCGGTACCGCATAGCTCTACCGGAGGTCTAGGTTCCTGTACAGTGTTGCTGTTATTAGTGGAGAAGTTGTAACGTGCAGTTAAGGGCCGCTACAACCCCAGCACAGTGTAGCAGCAGCCAGCCCCAGCCCGTAAGGCAGGCCCCGATCGCAGTTGGTGGCGAATGGCCGGGTACTCAGTAAACTGCTGAGAGATCATTTGGACATTTTTGGTATGAGGGCACAAATACAGAAGTAAAACGACAAAATCAGTGAGATGATCGGGGACTAGAAGGATAGACTCAAACATTTGGTTACGCAGGGCAGCAGGATTTACGTGAGGGGACGGAGCCACAAAGACCACTTGAGGACATTATCAGATTGATGTTGGGTAAGTGCAATTTTTGTGTGCATGCCTTTCATATACCTGTTTATATGTGACCAAATAATGAGTCTGTATAGGGCAATTAAATAAAATACAATGTTAACAAAATAGGGAATTAAGCTGTATACTAAATTAAAAGAAAGTTTGTTGAAATATTTTTGCAAATGTGCTTAGGTCTATTTTTGTTACTTTTGGTTCACAAATTTTTGTATGTGAACAATCATTTTTTGAGTTTCTTCAATTTAAAATAAGTTTATATTGCTAAAATGGAGAACTGGTGCTGTTCTAAGGAAAACTGCAAATTAAATAAATCACACAAAAAACAATTGATAATGGATGTTGGTTTTAACCCAAAGATGGAGAAAAATTACATGAAAATCACAATAGGAGAGCATAATACACCTTGCTTAGTAGACTCTGGAGCCGATATAAGTGCTATTAATAAATATCTATTGGACATGGTTGCACCTAATGTAAAATTAAAAAGAAGTCATTTGCAACAAATTATTGAAGTATGTGGTAAAAAGCATCACGTATTAGGTCAAATTAATATAACATTTAAATGTGAGGGTGAAACATTTACACACAACTTTCATGTATTTGAACAATTACATTCTAAGATTTTGGTTGGAATAAACTTTTTAAGAAAATATAAGGTTCAAATCAATTTTGGTGAATTAGAAATGGTGGTTCCAAATTCTGCAAGTGTTAAAACATTAAAAGTGCCAACTCAGAAAAATATTCCTCCACAAACATCTTGGGCAACAACAATCAAAGAAGTTATAATACCACCACATAGTGAAATAATCATACCAGTGAGAATATCCAGAATACATTCTGATTCAACAGTGCTATTAGAACCAAGAATGAACTTACAAGATCTAGACTTAGCTGGAGGAAAAACAATTACAAATGTGCTAAATTCTAAAAGTGTTTATAGACTTTTAAATCCAACCAGTGTTCCAGTATTTTTAACAGCAAGACAAAGAATAGCAAAAGTTTCTGTGATAGACAATCCAAAATCAATATCGGTGCTCAAAGAACAAAATTCAGCAAACATTTCCAACTTAAGTGCTACAGAATCAAATCAAACTTTGAATTATGAAACATTAGTAAAAGATTTAGAAATAGACATTGACAACCATAAACTTAGTAATGAACAAAAGCAAAAATTATATAAATTTCTTGAACAAAATCGTGACATCTTCGCAAAAAATTTATCAAAACTAGGGGAGACAAATCTGCATAAACACATTATTGATACCGAAAACTCTAAACCAATCAGTTCAGGTCCATATAGACAACCACCAGAGAAAAGAAAAATTTTACGGAAACTCATTAAAAAAATGGAAGATTCAGGAGTCATTGAAGAAAGTAACTCTCCATGGCACAGTCCAGTAGTCTTAGTAAAGAAGCCAAACAATAAATGGCGTTTTGCTGTGGATTACCGAAAGCTGAATGCAGTAACCGAACCAGTGTCATTTCCCATTCCGCACATAACTGATGTATTTGATACCCTTGCAGATGCCAAAGCTTCCATGTATTCTACACTAGATTTACGTTCAGGATTTTGGCAGGTACCACTACACAATTCAACCAAACACAAGAGTGCATTCATTACAGACCAGGGAATTTATCAATTCAATAGGCTCAGCTTCGAACTGGTAAACGCTCCAATAACATTCCAAAGTCTCATGACTAAAGTGCTTCGCAACCTGAACTTCAAATATGCTCTCGTTTACATTGATGATGTTTCAGTGTTTTCACATGACTTTGATGAACATTTACACCATTTAGATCTAGTTTTCAACAGTCTAAGATCAGCAAATTTAAAATTACATCCCAAAAAGTGCAAATTTGGAACTAAATCAGTGAAATATTTAGGACATATTGTTACAAAAGATGGAATAAAAGTGCTACCTGAAAATACAGATAAAATCAAAAACGCAACTAGACCTAAGAATGCTAAACAAGTGAAACAAACATTAGGAATTTTTGGATACTACAGAAAATTTGTGATGAACTATGCCAAAATAGCTAAACCTTTGACAAATTTATTAAAGAAAGATGTAAAATTTAATTGGACTGAAGAATGTGAAAATGCTTTTCAATTATTAAAACAGAAACTAATATCAGCACCTATATTAAGATACCCAGACTTCAACAAAAATTTTATTCTCGCGGTAGACTCATCAAATTATTCGATAGGATATGTACTCTCCCAGATGCATGATGGGAAGGAACATCCAATCTGCTTCGGAGGAAGAGCCCTGCACGACAATGAACTACGGTGGCATATAACTGATAAGGAAGGACTGGCTCTTGTTGAAGGAATACAACATTTTAAACACTACCTTGCTGGACGGAAATTTACGGTGTACACTGACAACGTCTCTGTAAAATATCTTCAGAAAATCAAGAACTGTCAAGGTCGCTTAGGCCGTTGGAGTATTCTTCTTCAAGGTTACCAATTTAATATCCTCCACCGTTCAGGTCCAACAAATTGCAATGCCGATTTCTTATCAAGACAACGTTTCCAAGATTCAACACAAGCAGCCTCTAGTGACTTAGCCGACCACATTGGCTCACTACATGAGGAAAACAAAGAATACACAGGCGTGACACTTGTGTACCCTGGTGAAGATGAAGAGACAATTATAGCAGCTCTTACATCAGAACAAGCCATGGATCCTGAAGAAGGGACATTCAAAAACTTAGCTAAGCATCAACGTGAATGTCCCGACTTCAAAGATATATACAACTATCTTGCCAATCGTAAAGTTCCGGAAGATCAGCAAAAAGCCAGAACAATAGTTGCAGAATCCTACAATTATGAACTGGTAGACAAGATCCTACATCACTTTTACTCCAAACGTGGAAAACAAGTGCTGCCAGAGGAACGCCTTGTCAAGCAGATCGCCATTCCTAGGACTTTAAGAGATGATGTACTGAAACAGTATCAAGACTGTATTGCAGGAGGTGGACATCAAGGATTTGAAAGGACATATGTATCGCTTCGTAACAAATACTACTGGCCTTCAATGTATGAGAACATAAAACAGTATGTTAAGACTTGTGAAGTATGTCAACAGTCAAAGAGAGCTTTCAACTCCAAACCTCCTCCATTACAACCACAGTCTGTTAATGACGTTTTCAGT